TTGCACCAGGTGCGAGATGAGCGTATTTGCATTTGTCGCCTTTTGTGCACTTGTTCTGTGCGAAATCCTTGCACTGTGCGACGTGCGGGTAGTTACACTTATCACCTCTGGTACATGTGTTGCGCTTGGCAAAATCGAAGCAGAACGGCCTTGATGCTGGCTTCTTGTGATTCGCAGGAAAGGACATGCTACGGCGGGGGTTGCCACCAGCCGTTGATGTTCTGGAAGATTTGTTGTTCTTCCAATCCCTGGAATATGTATGTAAAGCCTTGCACCGTTCACCATTGCGACAATTGCCTTTCTTCCATGCAACGCACGCGTTGACCTGAGATCGTGTCTCGTGTTCGTACCGTAGCTTGTTTTGATTCTTCTCCAATTGTTTAATCTCCAGTATGTCCAGGACACGCTGTCGAAGCCAACCGTAGGTACGATTCGGGTCGCTCATCTTCATGCGCTGGTACTCGTACATGTCTTGTTTCATCCATGCATGTCTACGAATCTGTGTGCGGAATAGCGATTCCAATATCTTTGGATCGGGTACTTCTCGGCATTCCAAGAGTAAGGCGTCCCAATCGGTAATGAAACGTTGCAAATCTTCGTCTCTCATCCTCAGTTCTTTAAGGCGCTCGAAATCGTGCAGGTCGTCGTCGACGTCTGTCACTTTGTAGGACTGTAGGATATGCCAGTATATCTGGCGTCCTTTGAGCATGCGTCCTGCTTTGTGCTCTCTGGTCTCGATGAGCCTGATTTGGTAGCGTAAGTCTGAGGATAAGATGTCGCTCAGAGCGGTTGCGAGTTTGCAATCGATGCTCTCAAAGTCTCCACTGTCTTGTAAATCCTCGAATGTACATTCGGGCTGTTCTGCCACGCATAGGAAGGCGTATGCTTTGGATGGTCGCCCTGAGGCGGCCCCGAAGTTCTTTCGCACTCTTTGCTGCCATTCCAGCAGCTGCGTGATCTTAGGCAAGACAGGTACTCGAACGGTGTCTGACTCCTTGATAGGCGTCGTTGTATGTACCGACACCGCAGACACTGGTTGTGAGGGTATCGGTGCACCGTCGATGGTTGGTTCTGTGCGCACAGGAGACACATGTCGTGTCTGTGCAGAAACTGCCGCGGAGGCTGCTCCTGGAGATGTACGTCGTTGTTGTCCTGCTGAAGCTTGTGGTGCTTCGGCGGACGCTGCCGTCGGCCTGTGCGGGTCGGCTGCAGGTCGAAGGTGAATGTTGGTGTCGTTAGTGTGGTCGATCAGCTGATTCGTCCAGCTCGTCATGTCTTCTTGTATTTGACCCACCTTTTGGCGTGTATACTCATCAGTATCCCGAGACCGTTGGGAATACCGATCAAGTCGATGCTCGCATGCTCGGAGACGGGCGCTTTGTGCCTCCACCTCGCTTTCCAGACGTGCGAGATAACTCTCAACACGTACCTTCTCAGTATCTCTTTCATGAATAACCTGGGAGAGCTCTAACTGCGTGTGGTCCGCCGCCTTCTCAACCTCCTGCAACCTGTCAGTGAGGCGGGCGAAATCGTAAACCGTGGGAGGAGAATCCAGCTGATCAGTCTGGGCTCGTCCGACACGCAACTCTGCCAGGGCGTCCTGTACACCAGGGAAACGCTGCTCTATGTCAGAGATCCGGTTAGCGAGTGGCTGCACGACAGCGTTGGTCGCATCAAGCCTTTGAGTGATGACTCTCTCAGTACGCTGCAACATGTCGATCAGGTTCGACGAGTTTGTGTGTGCTTCGGTACGAAGCGTCGCCGTAGTGTGGTCTAGGTAAGATCGAAGATCATTGATCTGAGACTGAACGTCGCCGAGGTCTGTGGCCTCGGTTGGGGTTGGTCGGTTACGGAGCTGGTCGTGGATCTCATCGTGTAAAATCCTGACCGCAGAAATGCCTGTGTCGCGTACGATCACAAGTTGTTGCTCCATCTGCGCGAGATAGTTGCGCAGGTTCTCGACCATCGCCGTTCGTTCACCTGAGTGTGACACCTCACGATCAACCTGGTACTGCAGTTCTCCTATGATGCGTCTATCTTCGGCGATCCTGGAATCGATGATCCCTAAGGCGCCGTCAAGATCGCGACGTATGGCTGCAGTATCAGTGGCGTTCGTCTGAACGCTCTGTAGTAGTCCAGAGTATTGGCTGGACACGAAGGTTTCAACCTGGTCTCTGAGCTCAGCTATGTCACCTGCGGCGGACGTCTCCGCCAGCTGGTCGTCTGAGATGGAGAGGTGGGGAGCGTCAGCTTCCCTGTGTCCCCTGTCGCGGGGAGTGCATGGCCTCTGAGAGGCAGTGCGCGGGCTCGACCTGCGCTCGCCGCATGGGCCTGGGGCTCCACGGCGGTTGCGCGCGGACGAGCTGCGACTCGGACCATGTGTGTGTGATGTCTCATCCGATGATACCTTGGGGTACCGCGTCTGTGGCTGTGCCGACACTGGTCTACTGAGTTCCTCGAAGGTAGCTACGTGCTCCGCCACAGGGACGGTCGCAGGGCTGGGGGTTCCAGCACCTGAGGTCCATCGGCGGTTAGCGCGGAAGCGCCCTGGAGTATCGAGACCGGTAAGGCTTTCGCCTGACGCGGTTGGGATTGCTCCCGACGGGGAAGGGGAGGGAGGATCAAAGGTCGGCGTGTGAAACTCCTTCCTTCCTGTTCCTACTCCTTCTCCTGTCCCCCCGCGGGCGGCGCTGCGGCGAAGTTCAGCAGCTAGACGCGCCTCGGGTCCTCGGGAGCTGGGGGGGGTATCGGGGACACCAACACAGTCCGCACTAATGCTCTCCAACTCGTCACCGAGCCGTCGCACCGTGGGAGAGCTTGGACGCGAAGCCCCAATGGAACCCTTACGGCGCATGCGCCGAAGCGGCTCCATTGGGCTCGCATGCAAGGTCACCGCGGGCGAGTCGGTGAAGGTGAGCGTTAAAGGGCTGATAACCTGTGTATGGGGTTGAAGTACAAGAGTACAGAACCCCTGATCCGTTGGTAGAGAGATGGAGGGATAGATGGATATCTTTCCCTCCCAAGCGATCAAGGTACGATCGCTCCAACTCAGTACCTGAGCCCAAACGGCCAGGTGCGGGAGAGGTAAGGATAAGGAGTATATATGAGGGTATTACACGGGTTCCATACACACAAGCCGGGCGCGGGTCTCCCGGAGCTCCGCGGCGAGCGCGCCGTGCTCCTCGAGGGCCCCGTCGACGCGGTCGGCCGACTCGGCGTGCGCCGCCGCCACGGCCATGGCAGGCGCCTCGCCGAGGGCCCCGCCGAGCGGCCCCAGCATGGAGGGGAAGGGCGGGACGGGATCGAGGACCACCTCCTCCTTGCCTTCCTCCTCGTCGGACGCCTTGGCACGCCGCCTCGGCCCGCGGGCACGGCGTCCAGCCTCGCGCGCCGTGGTTGGCACCTGCTCGGCGCCGATGCCGAACTCGGCGTGCTGCGCCCAGTCGCGGTAAGCCTTGCGGCCGCCCGAGGGGCGGGGCAGCACGCCCTCGCGGCCCGCCGCCACCTGCTCCGTCAGGTGCGGCCTCGCGAGCCTCTCCCGCGCTCGGACCTCCTCGTCCACGGCCGAGTCCTTCGGCTCCAGGTCGAAGGCGAGCTCCACGCCAGTGCGGAGGACTGCTGCAGCCGCAGCGGCGAGGTGGTGGCGCCCTCCGCCTCCCTCAGCCGCCCCTGCAACAGCAGCCCGCACGAGCGGGGCAAGCGCCACCAGCGTCTGGCAGCGCGCGACCGCAGCCATTCCCTTCGCGCCGTCGCCCAAGGCCGCCATCGCAGGGGCCGCGACACGGGGGGCAGGACAGAGCCGCTCTCTCCTACGAGAAGGAGAGGCACGGCGCGCACCTGCCCGCCCTGGCACCAGGGCTGGCTTGAGCCAAAATGGCTACGGATGTGTGTGTGTGTGTGTGTGTGTGTGTGTGTGTGTGTGTGTGTGTGTGTGTGTGTGTGTGTGTGTGTGTGTGTGTGTGTGTGTGTGTGTGTGTGTGTGTGTGTGTGTGTGTGTGTGTGTGTGTGTGTGTGTGTGTGTGTGTGTGTGTGTGTGTGTGTGTGTGTGTGTGTGTGTGTGTGTGTGTGTGTGTGTGTGTGTGTGTGTGTGTGTGTGTGTGTGTGTGTGTGTGTGTGTGTGTGTGTGTGTGTTGTGTGTGTGTGTGTGTGTGTGTGTGTGTGTGTGTGTGTGTGTGTGTGTGTGTGTGTGTGTGTGTGTGTGTGTTGTTGTGTGTGTGTGTGTGTGTTGTTGTGTGTGTTGTTGTGTGTGTGTGTGTGTGTGTGTTGTTGTGTGTGTGTGTGTGTGTGTGTGTGTGTGTGTGTGTGTGTGTGTGTGTGTGTGTGTGTGTGTGTGTGTGTGTGTGGTGTGTGTGTGTGTGTGTGTGTGTGTGTGTGTGTGTGTGTGTGTGTGTGTGTGTGTGGTGTGTGTGTGTGTGTGTGTGTGTGTGTTGTGTGTGTGTGTGTGTGGGGTTGTGTGTGTGTGTGTGTGTGTGTGTGTGTGTGTGTGTGTGTGGGTGTGTGTGTGTGTGTGTGTGTGTGTGTGTGTGTGTGTGTGTGTGTGTTGTGTGTGTGTGTGTGTGTGTGTGTGTGTGTGTGTGTGTTTTTTCCCTCCTGACTGGCATCGGCGACAGCTCGGCAGGCAGCCCCTCGCGACTCCGCCACGCGCCTGGGCGCGGCGGGCCCTCGGGCCCCCCCGTCGGCGATGCCTGGGGCCATCGGGCATCGACGCCTCCCTCCCCGACGAGCCCGCTCCCCCCCTCGAGGCTGCCCCCGAGGCACGTCGCCCGGGCTCTGGCGACGCGGGCGCCCTCGCGCGCGCTCCGAGGGCACAACTGCCCCCCAAAAGAATCAAACAATCGTCCAAAGATAGCCTGGGGGCTAGTTCTGTGTTGAATGCTATTGGGCCTTTTTGGGGCACTTTTGGGGTACGTTTTAATCTTTCGTCTAGGGGGACACGCCCGACTTAAGACTTGGCACCGGCTTCGGGCGCTGTGGCGGCGCGCGCGGGCGGGCGCCGCCGCCTCCTCTGTGTGGGCGCCGTCGCCTGCGCCGAGGTGCACCGAGAGCAGGGCGGCGCTGCTGTCCGCCTCCTGCGGGGGCGGCGGCTCGGCCGGACCCAGGCTCGGGCGCCTGCCCAGCTCGTACTGAAGCACGACTCGGGCTCTGGCGTCGAGCTCGTGGTCGGGGTCGGGCTCGGGCTGGGGCTCGACCGCTCGGGCGGCGGCTGGGCTTCGGCGCGGGCCCGTGCGCACCCGCGTGCGCCCTGCCCCCCCCCCCCCCCCCCGGGGCGAACGCGCGTCGCGTGGCTGGTGGCCGACGTAACCGCCGCAGCATGAGAGGAAAGGGTCGGGGGAGAGACATCTGCGCCCAAACACAACACGACACAACACAACGCAACGCAACACAACACAACACAACACAGCGCAGCACAGCACAGCACAGCACAGCACAGCACAGCGCGCACACACACACACACACACACACACACACACACACACACACACACACACACACACACATACAACACGTACGCACACAACACATATACACACAACACAAATGCACGCACGCACACCTGCACCCCACAGCCCCTCCGCCCCTCCCTCCTCGCTGGCTCGTGCCCTCGCCCGTCCCTCCCTCCACCCCCTGTCTCTCGCCCTGGCCTCTCCCTCATCGCCTGCTCGAGCCCCGTCGCAGCGCCTCGCCCCGCATTCCCTCCCCCGGACTCCTATGCCTCCTGCCTCCATCTTCCTCCCCGTTCGACTGCTCTCCCCTCCTCTGCAGCTCCTCGTGCATCGGCACTCCCCTTGGTAGGACGGCCCGGTCATTCCTCTCCTGTTTCTGAACGGCGCTTGCATGACTGCCGCGCGCTCAAGCTGCGATGACGACGTCGCCCCAACATCTGCAGCCAAACATGTACGTGCACACGGACGCGCGGTTTTCGCCCGCGTCCAGGCACGAAGGGCCAGCCGAGCCCTCGACTCACGAACTCGTGCTTCGAGCCCAGCGCGGCACACCGACCGCTTGTCGAGGCTGGGGAGCTGAACTTCTGGCCACGCGCGCACCATGGTGTAGGTGGCGCCGTGGCATGACGTGACCACGGGTGGTCGAACCAAGGGACGCGATATCACCGCCGGACGCCACCAGGCAGGGAATCTTCCAAGGCCGGAAGACTTCTGGACACAGTCCTGAACGCACGCCCCACGCCGCAACCAAAGAGGAGGAGGAGGAGGAGGAGGAGGAGGAGGAGGAGGAGGAGGAGGAGGAGAAGGCATGCTCAAGACGAGGAGGAAGAGGAGGAGGAGGAGGAGGAGGAAGAAGCACAACGGACTAAAACACGATAGGCAAATGTCCTCGGGTATCACCTCTCCCCTGTCGACGGGACCTGCCCAGGCCGTCTGGGGCCCTTACTCCGCAGGCCTGCCGTGGCCGGGCGCTGGCCCTTCCACAGATCTCCTCGCGCATGCAGCTGAAACTTCAATCACCACGTGCTGTAGACGCCCTCGCGCACGCAGCCGAAACCTCGACCACCTCGCGCCGCAGACGCCCTCGCGCACGCAGCTGCCGAATCGACCACCACACGCCGACACAGTGAGGCGCACGCCCCCGTGGCACGAGACCAGGAGACTGCCACACGACGACGACGACGACGGCGACGGCGACGGCGACGGCGACGACGACGACGGCGACGGCGACGACGACGGCGGCGGCGGCGGCGGCGGCTGCGGCGGCTGCGGCGGCGGCGCACGGCACGCCCGCCTGGCGCCGCCCGTGCCGCTCCGCCGCCGCCGCCGCCGCCGCCGCCGTCGTCGTCGCCGTCGTCGCCGTCGTCGTCGCCGTCGCCGTCGCCGTCGCCGTCGCCGTCGCCGCCCGTCGCCGTCGCGTCGCCGTCGCCGTCGTCGTCGCCGTCGCCGTCGCCGCCGCGCCCTGGGCGCGGGCGGCGAACCCGCCGCGCCCGGGGCGCGGGCGGCGAGGCCGCCCCGGGGCCTGCGCGAGCCGCGCGGCGCCCACCAGCTCGCCCGGCGCGCGGCGCGCCTCCAGCGCCAGCTCCACGGCCCAGACGTCGAAGAACACCACCTCTCGGCCCGGCCCTCCTCCTCCTCCTCCTCCTCCTCCTCCTCCTCCTCCTCCTCCTAAGGGGCCCAGGGAGGCGCAGAGGAGTGGACAACTACACATCTCCCAGGATCCCCCATACGTCCTGTCATAGATTTTCCCTCAGCTTTTTGTAGGCTCCTGCGTCTCCCACGTTCTGGCACGTGGTCCTGGACTTCGAGACTTGTATGGATCGACGAGTCCCTCCTGCTGAATGTCTCCTCTCCTCCGACCCCGACCTCTGACGGCATACTTCCCCTCGCTTTCGGCCTCCAGTGGGGGGCGTTTGGTGGGCCACGGGAACTGCCCCAGGGGAAGCGTCCGGAACCTCCCAAAACCGCGGGATTGAAGAAATCACATCGGCAGGTGTCAGGGTTCTCCTCTCGCCCGGCTCTCTTGCGGGGAGATGCTCTTGCAGGCCTCAGCTGCGGGAGCCGCAAGCGACCACAACAACATCGAGGACACACCCTGGGGGATTGTTAAGTCTATCTTTGCCTGGGGGATGTCTTGCGCACGCCAACAATCGTCAACACCGAAACAAGCTTAGCAGTGGATATGGTCGAGGTGGGCGCAACAGGACGGCCGAACCGACCATGATCGCTACAAAAAAGTGCTCATGTCCAGGTTGGTAGTTTTCCCAAGGGGCCCCCCAGACACAGCCACCTCATAATGGTTATGGTTTTGTTGTGCCCGGATGAACTATGTCGAATCACGAAATTGGATCGGAGTAGAAACGGATCGGGTCGCCAACGAATCGTCACGAATCGAATCCAAATCGGATCGCCGCGCGCGGCTCTGGCTTGCCCCGGTCGATGCTGGTGAATCGAACCGAATCGAATCGGATCGGAATCGCAGCCGCCAAGCGACTCGCATCGAATCGGATCGAATCGGATCTCATGTGGCCTGGTCTTCTGCTTCCCTTCTCCTTCTCCTGGGGAACATCTTTTGGGAAATCTTCAAAAGCCCGATTTGGGGGCCACTGAGCCCTTTTCAGAGGCCACTTAGCCGGATTATCCCGGATAGCCCAATAGTAAGCCAGACTAAGCCCGACTCAACGGGACCAAGCGGGATCAAGCGGTATTGTGCTGGTGAAGGCCGGTGTTCCATCGCGGACGTACCAGCGCCAATGCTGAATCAGATATCCCAGGAGTTGGGCCCGAACTTCTCACCCTCCCTGCCAAGCTTTGTTCCAGGGCTGAACCTAAACGGTGTTTTTCGGTTTCGTTTTGCTTTCGTTGTTCCCTCGTTATGCCTCCGATCCGCCTGCACCGCAACACGAAGCCGAAGCGAAAACGACCCACGAGATCGCCCAAACGACCGTTTCGGTCCACCCCTGCTTTGCTCCTCGATCCTCGGAGGTCGCGTGGGGACGGTCTTCGGGCGTGCTCTTGGCCCCTGGGCCGGGCCGCGGCAACGCCTCTGGAGGCCTCTGGGGGGCACTCTGCAGGAAATTGGACGCCCCACATGAACACGGAAAGAATGGGCACAGTGCCCCACAGCAGATGTTGCCCGGAACCAACAGCGGCCGCTGTTGGGCAGGCGGCCTTCTGTCTCAAATGGACACTGGCCGCGGCGGCGCGGACAGCGAGTCCTGTTCAAAATGAGCAGGGACTGCTGTTGGGCTGTGGGGAAATGGGCAGGAGGAGGAGGAGGAGGAGGAGGAGGAGGAGGAGGAGGAGGAGGAAAGAGCAGGAACCTCTCCGGGGGTCAGGATCTGGGCCGGCGGCCGGTCTTACCACCTCCGCCGCCCCGGCCCCCCTCCTCCGCCACCCCCACGGCTTGAACGGCGCAGGGCCCCGGAGGGCATCGGGTCCGAGCCGCTCTGCCCCGCTGCCGAGGTGATTGGACGAATTATCGGGAGCGGCCAAGAGGGGGGTGTCCAAGAGGGGGGGGTGCAAATCATGACTGGCGGCCAGCGGGGGGGCCAGGGACGTCATGAAATAAGAAGAGGCGCCATAAAATCTGGGGAAATATCATGGCCCCCGCCATGATATCCACCCCCCCGTAGTCATCAACCCCCTCTTTGCCGCCCCCGACCGTTGCCAAGGTGATTGGACGAATTAGGCCAACGGTGTCACCGGAAATCCATACGCAAGCAGGCATGCAAAACCGTGAGAGAAAAAACATGAGGCGCCGATCCTTCCCACTGTGGCCCCCTTCAGCAGGCGCGACTTCGCGCAAGAGAGGGTGCCAATTCTCGCCGTCGAAATTCATGACTTTTTAGTTGTGCGGCGTGCCATGTGTTAATATGTAGGCTGAACGTGGGACCTTTATACAGTCAAAAACCCTAATAAGGACGCGCGGCAAGGACGCAAGACCCTTGGAAGCCGAAGTTGGATTTTTTGGGGGCGGCGGACGACGAAAGCCTCAAGGACGCAAGAGCAAGGAAGAGCAAGGACGCAAGGGTACCCTGAGCAAAGTCGCGCGTCCTTATTAGGGTTTTTGACTGTACATGTTTCTGGGCGGGAAGAACTCGTGTGATCCAGGTTCGTTTGCTCACCACCGCTTCTGCCAGACGCTAAGTATCCTCTCGTGTTTTCACGTCCGCGGCGCTGACGTAGCGTCTGCGAGTGATCCCGCAAATTTGCCACATTGGGTGTTCCATCTTGGTGTTCCAACATGTCATAATACAATCCATGCTTGCCACCGTGGACCCTAAATCGCAAATCGAAAAGCAATGTGGATATGCAAGCTGTGGCGCAAGCTATGTGGTGTAGAGCTGTGTGGAGCGAACTCTGTGGTGCACTCTAGGTGGCGCCAGTTGTGGCGTGTAGGTGCAAGCTATGGAGTGCAATGATGTCTTTGGTGTAAGCTGCGCTCATGCGATGAAGGCTACGTGATGCAACCTATGTGGTGCAAGCTGTGTGGTGCAAGCTGTGTAGTGGAAGCTATAAAATATGAGAACACGCCAGCGGAACGCAGTAACATCCCATCAAACCTGGCTCGGAGTGACCAACACGGTTCAGCATGGCCCGCGCACATCATTTCTTCCTCA